CCACAAAAAAGGAATATGTCTAACACAAATAATAGCGTCCACGTCAATTATGAACGTGACAATTATCTTCTTATATATTTTTTTTCTCATAATTCTCACTCATAAACTAGTTTTGAAGTTTAATTAGGTTCAATATTATTTTTTATAATGATATTTGAGTTAGACTCATTTTAATCATGATATATAAAAGAATTAGTTATAGCGGGAGAAGGAGGTGGACCCACACTATAGTATATAATTAAATGTCCACCCATAAAAAGTATAGGCTTGTCATAGTGTTGCTGGTATAAGTTAAAGGAACCACCCATGAGACCTGTGCTCAAATCTACCTACAACGCTCAAGGTAATATTGGTGTGCGGCGAACTGTTCAAATCATGAGCTTATATTTGAGTTGAGATAATATTTATGCCCCTGAAATCTTCAAATCTTGAGTTCGTCTCTGAATAACGTACCCATTTTTGCTGAGCGTACGAAGCAAGAAAAGGGAGAAATGGTTATTATTACGTCTCTTACTTTTCCACGTCGTAATCTCTTTCAATTTCCTGGTGATTGCGTGGAAGATGCATCATGACTTGTTAAATTTTCTATGTCCAAATTGTAGGTTGACTTATTGACTTTTTTGGGACCCCACTTATTAGGAAGAATCTAGAGGATCTATTGTGAGTTTATATGAATTTTGTACTTTTTTTTGTTTTAATTTATGTATTTTAATATTAATTTAATTACCCATAAAAAAATTTTAAAAATAAAAGAAACTTTTGCATCCTTGGATGTTACATTAGATATGCATAATATATCAAAACAATGTTTTAATTTAGTGATTTTTAAAATAGAGGGAATATTTTTTACTCGAATACTTTTTTTATTTCAATTTATGTGATAATCTTGTCTTTTTAGTTTGTTTAAAAAAGAATATCATTTTACTAATTTAACTTTAAAATACCCTTTTACCTCTTAATGAAATAATTTTCAATCATACAAATATCTAAGGATTGTTTGAAACCACAAGTTTCAAAAGTCTTCCTTTTCTTTTTAAACATCGTGTCAAGTCAAACGGTGTCACATAAAATGAAATGGAGAAAATATATATTTTATATGTTTTAATTTGTTTGTATGATTTTAATTTGTCATATAAGTTAAGAAAGTAAAAAATATTTTGAATTTTATGGTCTTAAATTCAAGGCAAGATAGGTTTATAGCTTGTGACTTATAATCTTAAAGTTACTATGATTTAGAATTTCTAATTTATGACTATTTATTTTGTTACTATTTAACTTATAAACAAGTGTTTATCTTACTCAAACACTACAATTATAAAAGTGTTTTAAATCTATTTAAATTTAAAAATATCTAAAAATAAATTAATTCCAACAGACCAATACGTGAAAAATAAAATAATTATTAGAAATATATATTTTCAAATTGATCAAAAGAAAAAGTAAGACAAATAAATTAAAAGAATGGAAATATTTGTCCCATAGAATGAAAATTAAGTCATGTTCCTGACGCATAGAGGTTTCGTGGATGACTGAATCATTCTTCTTGAATACGCGTTATTTTTTCATTAATAAAAATCTAACTTTTTTTGTATACCTTTTATATCCAACTACTTTAATATAAGCTCTATAAATAGCTAAGAATATACAAGTCTTTCTCACTGCAATTTCTCAGCATTTCAAATATTCCTCTCTTTCACACACTCTCTGCCTACTCAGTTATACTTTAAAAATTCCCCATCAAACAAACAAAATGAAGGTATGCAAATTAATTTAAGATAATTTTTAATTTTTTTAGTATTTAATTTAACTCTTTTATTAACGTCTGTCGTTAAATGTGTGCAGCAAAAGGTTGTTATTAGACTATCTTTGAATGGAAACGATCAGAAATGTCGAACCAAGGCCTTCAAGATTGCTGTTTCTCAATCAGGTAATTTCAATCAATCGTGTCGAATAAAGTCTCATATTGATAATAATTATAAATAAAAAAATCGTGCGAATTTGACTCATATTGTTATTTTTTTTTTTTTACTTAGGTGTGGAATCAGCAGCTATAACAGGGGACGGAAAGAATCAACTAGAAGTTGTGGGAGAAGTGGACGCAGTGGCTCTAATGATGTTATTGAGGAAGAATTTGGGTCAGGCTGACTTGGTGAGCGTTGGCCCGGCTGGTGGCGATAAAAAGCCCGCAGCTGCAGCTCCAGCTCCGGCTGCAGCTACAGCTGCTGCTGCGGTGGTACAGTCGCAGCCCGGCTCGTATTATTATGCCTATCCGTCTTATCAATACCCTGTTTACCAAGTTACAGATTCTTATGGTCAATCCAATTGCTCCATTATGTGAAACAGAGGGATCCAAGATATAATAAAAATGTATTTACGGTCAAATATTTATTAATATGTTGATAGATATTAGCGAGTTTGAGCAAAAGCTATTGGGTTCATGTGAACCTGAGCGATACAAAAAAATGATACTGGAAGGTCAAAACAGAGTATCATTTTAAGTTTTTTTTTGTTCGTTCAGAGAGCTTAATGGACTATCTAGTAGATGAAGAGTTTTGGTTTCCATCTTTGTAAATCCGTTTCAAGTAATAAAATATTTGAATTTTGTAGTGAATGATTCAAGTGATTAACTATGTGACGTATACAAAAAAATTAATTAACTGGAAAATATTTTCCTTAATGTCAAATGGATAGGAGACAAAAAGATAAGAGTAATATGTTTATGCTCATATATTTCCCTAATTTTTGAGTAGTTTATAAATTTAGAAATTAGAAAAAACAATCTAGAATTTAATTTGTTATTATGTTTGTTAAAACTCTTTCAAAATTGGTAGATGATATGCACACTATTTATAATCCACAAGCGAAATTAACATAGAATTAATGTAAGTGGAATTTCTTGCTCTAAAAACTAAAACTAATCTCTAGTTTTATCAAAAGAAAATTGATAAAGTAGCAACATAATTAACACAATTATAGTTTGATATGGCATTATGTACCTGATATGAAGTCGTCTTTATTAGAAAACATTTTATTTCCTAATTTGAGATCTTCCAGTACGAATAAAGATTTAGTAGAGTTTCAATACGAATATCAAACACCGAATAGAAAACTAAAGAAAGACAAAGTGTGATTTTAAACAAAAGAGGGTACGCTGGTTGGGGACCAGAACTAGAAGTGTTGTGTCTTAACTAACATAACAAGTTTCGTAATACACTCCAAAACCTTCTTATAATGGTCATTATAATGTTATTAACTTATTTTTTATGATATAGAACTTAAAAAAAATAAAATTTAACCCACTTTTATAATATAGAACTTTTTAAAAAAAATTAGTCACGGACATTATCACTTATTTATTGTTAAATTGTTCGTAGATAAATACTTTTTAATAAAATATTGTTAATTTATTGCTAAATAGAATTAGCGGTAAATTTTATTATTCAGCTATCAAATTTAACCGTCTCTAATTCATTTTTTTTTTTAAGTAGTGAGTAGCCTCCCTTGTTGCTTAGTGCCTTTGTCTTTCCAATATCATTAATAGAGCTCGATTGTGACAAGATATTTTTGTCAATACTTAGCAGAATAATGTAGCAAAAAGTCTATCTATAGATGTACGTCCAAGAAACTTAAATGATTATTAGAAGAAAATATGAAAAATAGAATGAAACGATTGCTATCCTCATTTAATTAGATAGAACATTGATATATCTTAGAAATGAAAGCAATATGGATTTAACCACACAAAAAGTAATATATGTCAACACAAATAATAGTATCCACATAGGTGGTGGACAACTATCTTCTTATAATTTTTAACAATTCTCATTCGTAAATTAATTTTTGAAGTTTAATTAAGTTCAATATTAGAGTTAGACTCATCTCAATTTTGTTTGATACTGGACCCCCAGCTCATATTATTTGTACACTTGATAATCCAATCTATGAGTATAGGGTTGTTAATATGTAGTTCATAACGATTCATTTTTATTTCTTACTTAATCACGTCTCATTATTTATAAAGAAATTAGTTATAACAAGAGATAACCGATATTCGACAATTCATTTGTACCCGTTTTTCATGAGCTATACAATGGTATAAACATGTAGTCCTTACTGCGCCGAAACAAGAAAATTGATGCGCCTTAGTACTTGCCAAGCAAGAAAGGGGAAGAAGATGACTTGGTTCGTTTTCTAAATATCCAAATTGTAGGTTGACTTATTGACTTTTTGGGACCCCAATTATTGGAACCAAATTTAGAGGATATATTACTTCGTCAATTTAGTTTGTTTTTATTTTATTATTTTAATGGAATTTAAGAAAATAAAATTTAGAACTAAAAAGTGTCACAAAAGGGATTTTTGAACCGATTTTTAAAGAAAAAGTAAGATAAATAAATTAAAACGAAAAAATTACTTGAATTTTGTAATCTATTTGTTTTAATTTATTGTTTTATTTTGACTAGATATAGAATTTCAAAAAAATAAAAATAATAATTAATTATTTAATTTTAAACTAAAAATATGTATTAAAATATCTTTTGAATCTTCTCATTTAAAACAATGTAAAATGTTCAACTTATAAATATACAAAGAAGTATTTAAAAAAAAAAACTTAAAAGAAAAAAAATATTAGAATTAATATAAATGGAGTAATAGTTTTTATCCTAACATATACTCATTCTGTTATAATTTATGTGACACTATTTAATTTGATACAAAATTTAAGAATGAAAAGAAAAGTCATTTAAAATTATGGTCTAAAGTCTAAACCACTCCTTTAACTATTTATGTGTTTATAAATCCATAAGGTAAGTGTGTCACGATAAATTGAGATGGGAGAGTTTATTCAAACAACCATTTTATGGCTTCATACAATCAAACCTAGGTCAACCTCATAACGTACGGAGTTTGGCGGATGACTGAATCATTCTTCTTCCACACGCGCCTTATTTCAAACAACTATCTTAATATTTTTCTTGCAAGTCTATAAATACCCAATAATACACAAGTATTTCTCACTGCAATTTCTCAGCATTTCAAATATTCCTCCTCTTTTACACTCTCTGCCTACTCAATTATACTCCTAACCAAACTTTAATTCCCCATCAAACAAACAAAATGAAGGTATACAAATTAATTTAAATATAATTTTTAAATTTTTTTAAGTATATAATTCAACTCTTATATATTAACAAATGTTGTTAAATTTGTGCAGCAAAAAGTTGTTATCAGACTAACTTTGAATGGAAACGATCGGAAATATCGAACCAAGGCCTTCAAGATAGCTGCTTCTCAATCAGGTAATTTTGTGTTGAATAAAGTTTCATATTGATATATAATAGCTAAAAAAAAAATCGTGCGAATTTGGTCCAAAACTGATATATATATATTGTTTTTTTTTACTTAGGTGTGGAATCAGCAGCTATAACAGGGGACGGAAAGAACCAACTAGAAGTTGTGGGAGAAGTAGACGCGGTGACTCTAACGAGCTTATTGAGGAAGAATTTGGGTCTGGCGGACTTGGTGAGCGTTGGCCCGGCTGGTGGTGGCCCCGCAGCTGCAGCTGCGATGGTTCAGTCGCAACCTGGCTCGTACTACTATGCCTATCCGTCTTATCAATACCCAGTTTACCAAGTTACAGATTCCTATGGTGAATCCAATTGTTCCATTATGTGAATGACAATTTTCGATTGCTTACTGAAAACAGAGTGTATAGTATTGGAACAGTGGGATTTAAGGCAGTAAATTGTATTCACAGTCAAATTTTTATTGATATGTTAATAAATATATAGAGTTTCAGCGAAAGCTATTTGATTCACGTGAACTTGCATAGTGTATCACTCAAGTTTTTTATCCCCGTCCAATGGACTATCTAGTAGATGATGAGTTTTTTTTTTTTTTTTTTCATCTTTTTGGGTCTTTTTATATGCCTTTCAAATATTAAAATATATGATGACGTATAGAAGTTGCTTCTGTTAGGAGTGTTTTATCTCTGGCACGAATAAAGTTTCAGTAGAACTCGATTGTGACAAGATATTTTTGTCAATACTTAGGAGAATAATGTAGCAAGAAGTCTATGTATAGATGTACCTCCAAGAAACTCAAATGATTATTTGAAGAAAATATGAAAAATAGAATGAACGATTGCTATCCACATTAAATTAGATAGAACATTGATATATCTTAGAAATGAAGGCTATTGTTTAACCACAAAAAAAAGGAATATGTCAAACACAAATAATAGTATCCACGTAGGAAGGGTCGTCTCAATGAGTTTGGGGACTAAAGCCAAACTTTATAAAGATGCTCGTAGAACATACTCAATATAATTCAATAAATGAAGTCTGGAGAGGTAGGATATATGCGTAAATTATGAAGTAAGAATGTGAACCATGTAAATTTTCAAATACAAAATATATAATATAAGGTAAGAACAATAAAACTTGACTCGGAATTTTGGAAAAAAATTATATAATGATATCAAAATAGTGTTGCGCTGAATTTGATAAGTTGATATAATGATATTAATATAGCGTTGATTGGTTTTAGTGCTTGAAATTTGAAGAAGACACCAAAAAATAAATTTGATGTTTTTATGAACACACAACCATAAATTTTGCATAATGTAGAAGGTTTGATGGTTTGAAAGGCTTTAGAGTATTCAATTATGAGAGAATAAAAATAGTGAAAGGAGATTAAGAAAACTAGAAAAGTAAATATAAGAATAATAATGTTGGTTCATGATAATAGTCATATATATGAGGCAACAAATATAGATAGCCACATAGAAAGAATGCTACAACTAACTAAACCCTATTCAATTTCTCAGTTATTGGTCCCTATATTAAATGAGGTAAGGATTATAAAAAAAAAATTCAAAAAATTCATTTCAAATTCATCAACGCATGAGATTTTTCTAAAAACGATATGTATATATATATATATATATATGTAAATCTTTTGGAGAAATTGGGGGCCTAAGTGATTGCTTTAGTGGCCTTCTGGTCAAGACGGCCCTGCACATAGGTGGTGGACAATTTTCTTATAATTTTTAACAATTCTCATTTCGTAAACTATTTTTTGAAGTTTAATTAAGTTCAATATTATTTCTTATAATGATATCAGACTTAGGCTCATCTCAATTATGTTTGACGCTAGACTCCAGCTCATATTATGGTTTTCATGTAATAATCTAATCTATGAGTATATGGTTGTTAATATATAGTTCATGTCGATTCATATTTATTTCCTACTTAGTCACGACTCATTATTTATAGAGAAATTAGTTATAACGAGAGATAACAATCTAACTAACATATACTCGATAATTCATTTGTACCCGTTTTGCATGAGCTATACAGTGGTATAGACATATAGCCCTTACTGCGCCGAAACAAGAAAAATGATGCGTCCTAGTACTTGCCAAGCAAGGAAGGGGAAGATGATGACTTGGTTCATTTTCTAAATGTCCAAATTGTAGGTTGACTTTTTGGGACCCCATTTATTGGAACTAAATTTAGAGGATCTATTACTTCGTCAATTTAGTTTCTTTTTATTTTAACGGAATTTAAGAAAATAAAATTTAGAACTAAAAAGTGTCATAAAAGGGATTTTTGAAATGATTTTAAAAAAAAGTAAGATAAATAAATTAAAACGAAAAAATTACCTGAATTTGGTAATCTATTTGTTTTAATTTATTGTTTTATTTTGACTAGATATAAAATTTCAAAAAAATAAAAGAATTTTTAAATCATTTTATTTTAAAATTAAAATATGTATTAAAATATATTTGAATCTTATCATAAAATACTTGAATTAAAATAAGTGAAGTAATAATTTTTATCCAAACATATATTGGTTCTGTCTTAATTTACGTGATACTATTTAATTTGACACATAATTTAAGAATTAAAAGAATTTTTTTGGAATTTATGGTCTAAACGACGACTCTACTATTCATGTGGTTATAAATCTAAAAGGTAAGTGTGTTACGTAAATTGAGACGCAAGAGTACTTCCTCCGTCCAGCAATAGTTGTCCACTATATTATTTTGAGATGTTCAACAATACTTGTCCACTTTATGAAATTAATGAAATAATTTTACACTTAATTCCTAATTTATCCTTATTATTAATTATAGTCAAGGTCCTATTACATTTTTCATGACACTGTATTTATTATATTCAAAAGGTGACATTGTTCAGTCGCAACCCGGCTCATACTATTATGCCTATCCGTCTTATCAATACCCAGTTTACCAAGTTACAGATTCCTATGGTGAACCCAATTGTTCCATTATGTGAATGCCAATTTTCGATTGCCTATGGAAAACAGAGTGTATAGTATTGGAACAGAGGGATTCAATATAATTAACTGTATTTACAGTCAAATATTTATTAATATGTTAATAAATATATAGAATTTGAACGAAAGCTATTTGGTTCACAATGAAGTGAATCATTGAAGTTTTTGGTCCCTGTCCAGAGCTTAATGGACTATCTAGTAGATGAAGAGTTTTGGTTTTTTTTTCCCATCTTTTTGGGTCTCTGTAAATGCCTTCCAAATATTAAAATATATTATTTTTCGTATAATTGGATGATCTGAGTGATTTTATTTGTGTTGTCAAATTCATTTGAATTTAATATTTTTAATATAGAGTATCAATTTAATGTGTAAAAGTTTACTAGAACTGCAACAAATAATAAACTTTAGCTCATTGCTTCAAAAATATATAACGTTCAATGATGATAACTTTAAAAGTTTACTACGTAAAATTTATATTTTGAATCCAAACTAAATAAGACCACGAAATTACAATGCAGGGGTATTAATTTTCCTTATACTAAGATCAGATTAGTACAAGCTGTTTATTTTGGATTATTTAATTTTCATATATAATCTACTTCGAGAAGCACAATTAGTGTGTGATTAATTGTTTTTGTTGATCAAATGTTTTGAAAAGTGGAATTTTTAGAAAATTAAAGTATTGTTTTGAATGTGACTATTTTAGCTATGTTTGCTAAAATATACTCAAAGCAATCGAAGAAAATTTTTATTATGAGGATCCATTGACAAGTTGACATGTGGATTGTGGGGGGGAGGGGGGCACAAGTTGTCCTTTAAAGCTGCAACTAAAATCAAAGAGGAGAGAGTGTAAAGTTTAATTGGAAATTGAAAAAATATTGTGGGGTTCGCGTCAAATACAATTAAATAAACTAAAATGATGTATTCAAAATAGAAAAGTGCACAATAAAAAAGTAATGAAACGAACCAAAAGTTATTTTATACGTATATTGAAATTTTCTGATTAAAACTATTTTAATAAAAATGTCAATTAATATTTATTTTAATAAAAATGTCAAATAAGATATTAATGCCCAGATTGAAGTTTCATTGATTTACTATTTCTAAAAATAAATATAAAATTCAACATATTTAGCATAAACTTTGTACGATTTAATAAAAGTGTAATAAGTAGAAATTTGACTGTTCTGCTCCAAATTAAAATGAAATTCGTACTATATAATGTTGTTATATATCTAACACCATTTAGATAAAAGAAATACTCTAATAATATGATTGTTATATCATAGGATAGTTTTTAAAATTTTCACTTTGTTACACATTTCAAGTCTTTTCTCAGTCCATATATCAAATATCCATTTTTAAAAGTAACACGAGTTTGAAAAAAAAAAATATACATAAATCTTATTTTATCTTGTAATATAGAATCATTTTTAAAAGTAACACAAATTTGAAGAGATCAAAGTGTATGTAAATACTATTTTATCTTGTAACATAGAAATAATGTTTTTTTTATATAAATCCTTAATTAAACAAGTTAAATAAATGTGTATAAAACATAAAATAAAAATATAGGTCAGCTGATAATATGACTTCTCATTCCCTGCATTACTATTTTAATGTGTATTTTTCCATTTTCAATACATCATTGTAGTTTATTTAATTGTATTTGATATGGACCCCACGATTTTCTTTCCGTTTTCAATTAAACTCTACACCCTCTCTCCTCTTTGGTTTTAATTGCAGTTTTAAAGGACAATCTATCCCCCACAATCCACATGTCAACTAGTTAATAGAATTTCATACAAGTTTTTGTTGGTTGTACCTCTGACTTCTATCCGTTCGACTTTTTTCTCTTCTTGCCTTTGGTAGGAGCTTCTTCAACAATATTAACTTCAATTATTGTCGAACTCTAACGAGACTTCTTTTCGGCGATTCTATTATATTCCTCAATCTTGAGCCGAATCACAAAATTTTCAAGTTTCATTTCCTTACGTTTGTGCTTTAAATAATTCTTGAAGTCGTTCCACGAAGGAGGTAACTTCTCGATCATTGCAACCACTTGAAAAGCTTCATTTACAAACATATCCTCAGCATTCAGATTATGGAAAATAAGTTGAAGTTCTTGCACTTGTGATTCAACAGTTTTACTAGTTGACATTTTATAGTCTAAAAACTTTGCGACCACAAACTTTTTCAAGCATGCATCTTTTGTCTTATATTTCTTCTAAGGTGCATCCCACAATTCTTTCAAAGTTGTCATTGCACTATACATATTATATAAGTCATCCTCTAAAGCACTCAGAATGTAGCCCTTACATAGGAAGTCTGTCTGTTTTCATGCTTCAATAATCATGAATTTTTCTTTGTCTAACATTTCAGCAGCAGGCACTGGAGTTTCTTTACTGGTAAATTTCTACAGACAAAGAGTGCTAAGCCAGAAAAATACCCGTTGCTGCCATCCTTTGAAATTCATACCAGAGAATTTTCCCGATTTCTCTGTTGGTGGTATAACAATTCGGGTTGGTGCAGCAACAACCACTGTTACATTGTTGTTTGCCATTTCTGATAAACAAAAA